ATTTGATGTGCCATTACGGGTTTACATACTAATACGAATGGAGAATAAAGCTGTTCGTCGTCAATCTGTTGATGCATGCCTAGTCCTGCTGATAAACTGAGAATTAGTTAGCTTTTTTGTTAAGGCCTGGAATTATTTAACTGCCAAGTACACTTATTGCAGCCCTAATTCATGAAATTTGGCCCACTAAGTTTAATTTTCATTTGTCCAGCCATGTGAAATATTCAAAGAAGAATTGTTTTGTGGTTCAGGGAATAAACTTTTTAGAATTCACTATTATAAATCAATATGAAATTAATTTTGGAATAGCACTGCTAATGTAAGAAAGTTTGTCGCAGTTGCTGGGCATATCAGTCAGTTTGTCGCAGTTGCTGCAGGGTATGTCAGTCAGTTTGTCGCAGTTGCTGGGCATATCAGTCTGTTTGTCGCAGTTGCTGGGTATGTCAGTCAGTTTGTCGCAGTTGCTGGGCATATCAGGCTGTTTTTTGAAACGCTCGCTATATTTTGCATCCCAGGAGTCTGGTTGAGGCGTCTATCTGATTAAAGCCTGACTCGATCATATTGCACTGAAAGCCTCACCAAATAGCGTTGCTGCCATGCACGTCGCGCTTCTGTCAATTAATGAACCCTGCGGACGTTCGTAATGAATGACATTCTCTCTTGAATGTGCGCGGCTTTCATTCTCTAAGGGATGCTCATGGAAATGTTAGGCTGGTTTTCTAGAAATTATGTACATGCTTAGCTTATTTTGATTAGCAATTGAATCGCGATGAGCAAAATTTTATCCAAAATCAGGTTTCTAGAAAATAAATGATTTTTTTATGGTAGTTTAGACATGACGAAAGGATGGACAGCGATTAAATACATTTAAATTCGATTTTGCTTGAAACTGTTAGAAACATAGAAAGATTTAAGCTTCTGGTGAATTTGTGGGGTAAGCTTTTTTTCGGATGTGTTCAACAAATGAAATTCTTCAATCATTGCTAAAAATGTCTTGACAAAAATATCTCCATACAAAAAATTTAAATTGATCTCATTCTTTAATGAAGATTTTATTTGATAAAACATTCAATATTTTCAATCCTTCTTACCATATGGAGGCCAAAGATATATCAGCAACCAATCAAACAAAGGAATTTTTCAAGCGAATAAATAAACCACGTGTTTTGAACCATGCACCGACCATAGCACTCACTTATTCCAATATTCAGGTAGAAATAACATACCGCTCGATGATTCTATTATTCAGGTAGGAATAATATTACACTCGCTGATTCTAGTATTCAGGCAGGAATAACATTATAAATATTATAGCAATTGTTCCTCTAGGGCGGTAAATTTTGAACCTGTTATTTAGCCCAGCGGCGCAGCGGCGTTCACACGCCCTGCGTTCAGATGCACGAACAATCACAAATTGCTGGTCAATTTTCGGCTATGATCATAATGCTATTCCTACCAGAACTACGTGATGATTTCGTCAATAAAAGGCTCGCTCCCATGCATGCAAATCATGCCAATTTGCCCCCAAATAAGGTGGTGCTGCCTAAACTATTTATGCATGAGAAATAGTTTAAATTGAGTTTTTTTTTGCGAGACAAAAGACAAATTGGTTAATAACTGTTGCTTTGTGTTCTGAAAAAGGAAATAAGTTTTTAGGAAAATGTCAGGCATTTCACAGCTAGGCGCAATAGTTTGTAAAATAATAGGTGCAGTTTTTGTTATAATCTTGATGTTTATCTCCAAGCAAAAGTTACTTGCGTCTTGATTGATTTTCTTCTTTCATGTAAGTTGGAATAGATTTCTTCAATAGAGAAAATTTTATACTAAATATTGGGGAAAAAATTGTTCATTAAATTGTTAAAAAATTACGTAACAGAACTCATTATCTGCATACAATTTTTTCTATAAAATTTCAAACATTTACTTATAAATGAACATTCTCTTGAAATTTCTTTTCTAGATAAAAAATTCACACTTTAAATGATTAAAAATTTGTTTCAATTCATAATTTCGTAAAAATTAATATAATGATTATTCAATTCATTAGCATTTCCACAAAAATAAATCTTTTTCACCAGAAATAAAACTATTTGCTGCGGCTGGGGAAGACATGAAAGAATCAAGACGACGTCTTGTAAGTTGCAGCTTACAACACTCCATGATTGAGTAGGGGTCTTAAGGCTGTAGGGGTCAACTGCTCTTCAATAAGAAATGTTCATACACCGAATAATGTTCATAATACAGTTTTTCTTGCATGAAAAAATTAATAAAAATATTTTGTTGATGAATTTTTGATTTGTGAATAGAAGATTTTTTATTTGGATTTAAAGGAAAATAAATGATTTAACTGAATGACCATGACAATTAGAAATCATGAAATATTCTTGTAAAGATTGAGAATATATATTCTATTGTAAAGATTGTAACCAGATTAGACCTTGATTTAATTTCTATTTATTTTACATATCCGAAACTTAGATCATTACAAGTGATATTGCTATCGTCTTACATATAAATAATTTTTCCTACAGAAAATTAATGAGTCACAATATCCATTAATTTTTTCTAACAGAAAATTAATGAGTCACAATATCCATATAGTGACACTCTTCCGGCACTGATTTATCCTTTCACCGTACCAAACTGGGTCATGATAACTCACACAAAAGCAGAGACTGCACCGCAATTTGGACAAAGGGTCGCTCATATCTCTGAGTGCATGAAGAACTCAAAACCAGGTTTTTACAACTAATGATACTAAATTTATAGAAAAATGGTTTACAAAATACTGTAAACGGATAATAGCTTGTTCGCGAAAAAAGTTCTCCCGTGAAACACGATCTACGTACTACTGTGTTATTTTTAGGTCCTCAGTTTTGTAGGTGTTCGAAATATATTCATTTCACAAGCATTAATTCAATATATATCTATGTATGTATCTATTTGTTGAATTCTATGAATATGTTATGAAATCTACGCATCGTTATAACATAGCCATGATAATATTTCTTATATCTATCCTTGAATTACTTCATAATTTAAATGACTGATTTAATTGATCCATTTCAGTTCTACCAACTCATCTCGAAATATATATATAAATAAACAAAATTTTCCAAGATGTCTACCAATATATATTTATCTTTAGTATATGTGCATGGATTCACTGCACACGGCAATTATTATACATTACCCACAAAAAATGAGTAAAAGCATCGTCATCCCTGATAATTCCGATTTAATATCATTTCTTTCAAGGTTCGTGCAATGCAGGAAGTGAAGTATGTAGAGCGTGAGCCGCAGGTGTTTCCTACCCCACAGCGGCGCTACGTGCGTACGGACGCACGTAGGAATTGCGTACTGAAAATAGACCGTCATTTGAGGCTGTAGGAGCTCACAGTAATGCTCAGCATACAGTTATTTCAATCTTACTGTGATGGCTGCAGTGAAATGCAGTTAATGCAATCCTACTGCGTGCAGTTATTGCAATCTATACTTCACCGTTCGCACTAGAATGTTCAGCAGTTACTACAATCCTGATACAATCAGTATGCATAACGATTGTGTGCTATACATCATAACGATTGTGTGCGATACAATCATAAACGATTGTGTGCTTAGAAACAGTATCTTCAATAATATACATGCAGCTCTACGGAAGCAACAGCATTAGCAGCAATAACAGATGTCGAAGTAGCAGTTATGGTGAAACAATCAGCAATAACAAATGAAACGATATCAACTTAATACACCAGCAGAATCAGCAGCAGCACAAACAACAGAAATAGCAGCAATATGATGAGACAGCAGCTGCAGGAAACAGCCGTGATTACAGCTGCTTGCGTGCAGTCTGCGTTTAAATCTGCGGCGTAGTCTGGCTCGTCTGTTTCCTGCCGCTGAAACAGGAAGACTGACGTATCTATAGACAGGGAAGCAGACGTATCTATAGACAGGCAAGCAGACGTATCTATAGACAGGGAAGCAGACGTATCTATAGACAGGCAAGCAGACGTATCTATAGACAGGGAAACAGACGTATCTATAGACAGGCAAGCAGACGTATCTATAGACAGGCAAGCAGACGTATCTATAGACAGGGAAGCAGACGTATCTATAGACAGGCAAGCAGACGTATCTATAGACAGGCAAGCACACGTATCTATAGACAGGGAAATGGACGTCTCTATATTTTACATCATTCGTATCGATCATAGAACTTCAAAGTTGAGCCGTAATTTTTTTTGCAATTCATTTACGGAACGCCATAACTTTTTTGCTATTCAATTAGCGCAGTCGAGGCTCAACATTTGAAGAAAGGAAATAATTTATGTAGATATTTTCCTGAAGAAATGGCTATTTAAATGGATCACGGCAGGATGAAACCAGAAACAGAATTACACGAAAATTAATACGTTAAACATCATGAATGAACATGAATTTTTGTAGAAGCGATGAATAATAATGTGCTGGATATTTAAACCAATTTGCCGATGAATGCTAGCTTTGATGATGGCAAATAAATTTAAATCACGATGATATCACTTAGGAAATAAATTATCACTGTCGTATTTCTCAAAATTTTACAGGAAAAAAATGCTATGCTCATCAGTTATTACTTTTTACAGGAAACCGCACCAAAAAATAAGATAATTTAAGGAGCGCCTGATATACAACTCAGTCTCCCCGTGCGCGTAAGTTCAGAGAATTGACGCGCATTGCGCACAGGAAATGACGCGCAGATTTTATCGTTAATTAATTAATTTTTTAGGCCTTGAGTGTTTTCCTCATCCTTCCTTCCTGTCAATGCTGCTTTTTCTGGGCATCATTCCGCGCCTCTGTCAATTATTTTATCTAACTCAACATTTTTCTACATCAATAAGAGCGAACTGCTGCTCCTGTTGTTATTGATGATGGCGTTGCTCCAATTACTGTTATTTGTTTTGATTCCTCTTGTTCTCTTCGAAATTCCTGTTGATATAACTGTTGTCGCCATTGCTACATCAATAAATCGGAGTAATCCCTGTTGTTGTCGCTGTTTTGACGCTGCTACTATCGCTGTTGTTGTTGTTGTCGCTGTTTTCCCTGCTACTATTGCTCTTGCAGTTGTTATTGCTGCTGTTGATGTCGCTGTTTTTGACGCTGCTACTATCGCCGTTGTTGTTGTTGTTGTTGTCGCTGTTGTCCCTGCTACTATTGCTCTTGCTGTTGTTGCTGCTGTTGTTGTCGCTGTTGTCGCTGTTTACTCTAGCGTGTCGGGCGTTGCCGCTCCCACGCTGCCGGATTTGGCGCTCGGCTGGTGGCCCCGAGGGTGGGAGAGGGGCAGAGGGGGGGGGGGGGGGGAGGATAGGGAGGGGGTGGATAAAATAGGGAGGAGAAGGGGAGTGGGGTAAGAGGGAAAGTGTGGAAATGAACGTTAAGGGGAAGGAAAAAAGAGTAAAGGGTATAATTATAATAGGGAGGTGGAGGGTAAACGAACTGAAGGATTAGACTCTAAGTTAGTGATGTAGTAATATGATTCCGACATGAGGGGACTATGAAAATGATTGTTATAAGTACATTTCTTGAAATATTATTTTTTGTCGTCATAATAAATAATTTAGCCTGCTCTATGTAGTGGATTACTGGTGCGTTTTGACTATGGTAAAGCCTTGCGCCTTGCGGCAGCGGGTGGTTTCGGCCTGTCAAATGTCAAAGTCAGCTGAGAGCTCTAGCTGTTTTGTTCCAGAAAATTTATGTAAAAATTCAACCTAACATATTTTTTATCAACTATTTGAGGTATAACCCATTTAATTATTCAGTCCGTCCAAACGTAATTTCATTTATTCTGTTCTTAGATTAAAATAATTTAGTTTAGGTTAAATCTTACTACAATTTTCTTTGCTTTTTTTTTCGTTTTCTACATTTTTGATGGTAGACTGAATAATTTGTTATCCGTAATTGGCTCTTTTCGATTATATTCATTATTGCCGAGTAGAAGCCTAGAAAGTGGACATATAAGTTATAACTGATATAAGATCCTCATTGCTGAGAAGCCTGCATAATGAGTTCTTAAAAAAAATTGAAGCACATTCTGCGCAAGCGTTATAACATAGTTTTTTATGTTCATAATGTTATTTTCGAATGCTCTAAAATATATTGTATACAGCCCTACTGGCTAAGGCGCTTCTACAAGTTTAAAGCCTTTTTTTTAAACATGAACAAAGCTCCCTTTCTTACTAAAAATAGTTATTTCGTCATAATAATTCCAGCTGAATAATTCAAATGAGAATATACATCTCGTATCGTCTCGTGTCATGTGTGTTGCGTCGGACTGGCTTCCGTTATTTCCGTAGCTGTCTTCAAGTTAAAGGGCGATTTTAATAATACACAATTCTGATAAGGGTTAATATAATATAGTAATAACATATAATAGGGGTTATAAAAGTAAAATATTAACAAAGGTAATAATATTATATTATGAAATAATATAATACAACATAATAATCTCCTTAACGGGACCGATCTGAAGAAATGAAAAGTTATGAATCAAATTAACTGGCCCAGATTTGTATTAATTCTAATATATATGACCGGAAAATCATTATCATTTCTGAAGAAAACTCAATCGCTGGTCAATGAAACTGGGCCGTATTAAATATTTCTGATCTCATTAATATTTACATGGAATAATGCACTTTACTTATCGTGAACCTACAGACTTTCTACAGGTGGAAGAAACAAATTTATGACAACAATTTTCTGCGCGATTATCTACGAGTGATTAATTATGTATTGGGAGCATTAATTTTCAGTTTTCAGTAAAACTGGATAAACGAAGCGCTGACAAATGACAGAAAGAGATAGTGATTTATAAGGAAATGAGCATGGAACGTTTGACCATTTCCGACCATTGAAAGAAGTGATTAAACCGTCACAATTATGTGTAAAGGGCATAATTCAATTGATTTATTTATTTAATAATATAAGTTATCACTCTGTCAGCAACAAATTTTGAAATTTTGCGATCAGAATTGATATTAATTTATTTAATGGATGTCTCTTATAGCTCCTGAATTATTCTTCATATACTAATATGATTCTACGGCTAAATTTAATTGTGCTGCGAGTGAAATTAAAATAATAATTGGGGAATCGATTTGTCAACATTGGCAATTAATGAATATATGTATATTCTTCAGCGTCAGTATAATATGTTCGGATTAAATACTAGTATAAGCTATTTATTCGGAATTGGGAATGTATTGTTATGCAAAATTTAATTTGCAATCCGTAAATTTTTTCTCTTGTGCTTGTGTGCACGAAATTGAAAATTCCAATGAATGCATCTCATAGACAAATTCTGAAGAATATCCATTGAAATATTTTGTTTCCAAAGAATTAGTTCGAATATTATGTCATTTAATAACTTGAATATGATCATGCGCGCGACTAATATTCAATATAAAAAGTTTGCTTGAAAAGCAAATTGACTAAGGATTTAAAAGCTAAACAAATATCAATTTGATTCATTGCACTGAAAACGTTTTGGAGATTCATCATCAGTTCTAACTGCAAAAACAATATAATCTTGTCATCGAGACGATCAACGTTGATTGTCTCGTTAACCCCATTGACCCCCTGTTAGTATGTCTAATTAAGTTTTAATCTCCCCAGTGTATATTTTAGCCTTTGACTATACATGTACTTTCGAAGTTTTTAACTTATGGTCGAACTAAATTTGAAATTTCTTCAATGAAGACACGGTGAATTTACTTTATATATTCTTTGATTTCAAATTCTTGATTAGGTTTAATTTAATATGTGGGACGCGCAGTAGAATCTTGCCGTCCAAGTTGGGGTAAATATTGTTCAGAATTTTCTAAAGATGCGTGAGCTCGAGACCGAACTTTCGGCGATGATGAGCTATTCACGACCGACCGTTTTTTGCGATGTCCAACGGGAAGCGGAGGTTGCGTTAGACGTTGCACCAGCGTTGGTTGCGGAATATTCAGAGGAATTTGTTTAATTTCAACGGGGTTGTCTTTAAAATGGGTTTCGGTCACGGGTTCAGTCGTGGTTGGTGAAGGTATTTTTTCATCGCTCGTTTTTAGAACATCTGAAACTGGTGACGACATGCCAACTCTTCCAGCAATAAATGACACATATCCACCTTCGCTACCACTTATAACTTTAGAACCCGTAGAAGGATTAACATCTTTTTGTTCTTTTCCCGCATTTTCGTCTATCTTTGGTGGTTCCGTTTGCAGGGTTATGTTAGATGCTCCGAAGACTTGAACTTTGGCCGACAACAATGGCTTGAATGTACGATACTTTGCGGGAAGTGTGGAGCTGATGTGTATTTGAGGACGTTGCGTGTATGAAGAATGAGGTATATAATTTGTTAGCGGAGTAACCGACTTTCGACTATTCGAGACGGGAAGATTTTTTAGGATGGGAGTCAGGGAAGCAGGCCGATCTGGAATTTCAGTCTGCTCACTCGGACTAGTTTCCTTGCGTGGTTGCGTTGAGAGACCTGAAGGAATATTTGAATATTCAGGAGCCGGATTAAATGATGTACTCGGCCTTGCAGCCGTAGGCAAGAGGTTGTTTGGCGGTTGTTCTTCAGGTCTCATTTGGACATCTGTATGAGTAATTGTTGGAGAGACATGCCTGGGCCGTCTTGAAATATTGTCGTTTTGTGGATAAGTGACATTGCGGCCATTTTTTTCTGAAACTTGAGGCCCACCCGCAACATTTGGTTGAATTTTTGCACCGAATTGTGAATGAGCAGCCACTGCATTTGTGAGTTGAGGTCGATGAGTGGTATAAGCTGGCCCTGGACTGATGTTTATCGGCTTATGTAAGTCCACTCGATAGTTGTGAGGACTTCTTGATTGTGGAGTCGTGGTCTGAGGGTTTCCTATGAGTGTCTGAGGGAGCGTTCGCTGTTGGACTGAGTTATAGTTCATATCATGAGCTGGACGTATAAGATGCGTAGTCCCTGTTACAGGATGGTGGGTTGTAGAGGCTATTTGTTGATCCCGAGGAACACCAATAGGCACCTGCAGATTTCCTTGTGCTGAAACAAGTCTGGAGTTCCGGCTGCTAATTGTAACCTGAGAAGTTGGGTTAGGCTTGGTGGCTGAAGTTGTAGGAGCTATAGTTAGTGCGGTCGCTTGATGCTTAGGATTGTAGCGAGGACTGCCATCTCCGGGCAAAGAGCCAATCGAAAGCTGAACAATGGGTTGTGGTGCTTGCCTGTGGCCAGAGGGCAGTGATTGGCCGGCGGATTTGGAGTTATCGGCTTGGGTTTGGAGCGGAAAGGTTGGTGTGATTGGAGCTACAGGTTTAAGAGTAGTTATTGGCATTGCAGCTTCAGTTGCCGTGGTTGTGGTGGTAAAAGGTTGAACCGTCACACCAAGGGAGGTTTCTTTCGCAATAACTGGAGGGACTAAAATCGAACTTAGAAATATTTGACTCGCTGGATTATTTGGTTGTTTAATATTATTAACTGGGAGGATTTGGCTCTGAATGGGGCCTGCAGTGATTTGAATTTCAGGTTGATTTTCTGTAACGAATTCTTTGTACACTTCAGTTGAGGACGAATCAAGCTTGGAGTTATCTACTGCCGGCAATTGCGACTGCAGGTTAGTTTTTGCTGGTTTATTATCACGAACAATAGATTCCGAATGGCCTTCATCATCATCCACTGGCGTTGCTGCGGAGTCTGCGGTTTCTTGCTCTTCCACAAGCTGAGTCTGGACGCTTGGATGGTTTTGGTTGTCGTCATTGGAGTGGAGTTGGTAGGGAGGCCCAGGTTGATTTACGAGTGATCTATCTTCTGCCTTTCGTGTGTTAATTGAACCTCGTTCCTGAGACTGTTCTTGTGCAAATTTTTGTGGTGAGGACTCGACCACTTTGTCTGTTAGGACGTTGTATTGGTTACTTTCAGGAGGTCTTTGAGAGGTTTGCATATTTTGTTTATGATGGTGGTTGGTGCTCAACTCAACCTGAGAAGGTGCTTGAGTATCGTGCTTACTTATCGGACCAGGTGATGGGTCATCGTGGGTATGTTTGCTTGTACCAACATGATGTTGCTGGTGCTGGTTGTGTGGTGCTTCATGATGAGACGGGGTGGGATTTAGGTTATTTTCCCGCTGGGCTTTGTGTTGGGGAGGGGGTGAAGAAGAAGGTTGGGTTGGTGGTTGCCCGACAGTTCTTGCCTCACCATCATATATGATATTGGCTTGGTAGCCGTTCTTATTCGCCATGTAATTGACGGTTTGTATTCTCCCATCAGGAAGATGCACCTAAAAAAATAATGAATAGATTTTTATGCTAGAACAAAATCTTGTACCAGTAATAAAATCAAACTTTATATTATAAATACGCACACAGCTTTATCATATTGGTTGTCTCCAAAATAAATTCAACTAATACGAGTAAATTACCTTTTCAAAATCTCACCAGGTTCCAAAGGAAAAAATTTTAATTTAGCTTCAACGTGTAAAAAATAAAGCCACAAGTACATGCTTTCCATATATTCTTAATTCACTGGATACATAAAAGAATAAAACACGACAGCTTCAGCTGCAGGTTCATCATGTATGCGTTTATCAGCTAATGCGATGAGCAAACGATAAATGTTATTCCTCTATAATGACTATAAGAGAATCATGTTAAACTGATAGTGGTGTTAAATAAGCGGCGCCTAGCAACTGTGTAAAGGAAAGCATGCAATTAAAATTATTCACATTCATATACAATTTTGATCCTCACATTCTCCACGTAAACTGTGGAGTATTATTCTGATAAAAATGGAATGCAAAATTGGAAAATGAGAAAACCATCGGTACAAAGAACATATGTCGTGAACTAAAAATAAATTTTATAGGTTTCTTAAGCTAAAAGTTCGCACGCTGCATCAGGTTTGCAACAGATATTAATTACGATATTCGATTGCTGTAATAAAAGATTGAATCATACATACAAATAATCAGGAAGTAAGTACAACATAATAACATTAATGAGGTCGTCATGTCATCGGTTTTTTCCTCCTCGCGGAGATGGAAAACTCGAAATTTTGTCATCACATCAAGAATTAGGAGAGGCGAAGTCAAGGCTCAATTGACAGTTACTGAACACTACTGTATATTATCACAACAGTCAAGAGCATAATATTTGATATTATGGCGAACATGTCCTTATATTATATTATATTATATTATATTATACTATATTATATTATATTATATTATATTATATTATATCATACCACATTATATTATACTATATCAAGACTAAGACATAACTATATAACATTCTCGCCATTATATCACCTTATACTGGCCGGTGGTGCCGCCGTTGCCGTCGCTGGTCTCCGCTTGGTTGAAGCTCGTGCCGCTGCTCGCGTCGTTCACGCCGTAGGCGAACGCGTACGGGCGACCGCGCTGCCGGACGTGTTAATTAATTATTTATCTTATTATTATTTGTGCACCATTTATTTTTTAATATCTATTAGTATTGCAGTAAAAAATAACAATACGAAAGAAAAGTTATTAGCAATAGTGACGAAAAGGCTCATCATATTAAAGTTTCAGCATAGAAGAAACTGCGTTGTAACACATCCATGCCATGCACAACATTTCTTCTCGCTTCGAGTCACCGACATGTGGAACAACCTCCCTGACAGCATCGTTGACGCTCCGAGTATGAACGCCTTCAAGAACAGACTAGACGAAGCTATGCAGGAGCATATGTTCAGTCTTAAAATGCCTAGCAAATTACGGACCAGGCAATAAGTCCAGACGAAGCAATGCAGGAGCATATGTTCAGTCTTAAAATGCCTAGCAAATTACGGACCAGGCAATAAGTCCAGCAGCTATCTCAATCAATCGTCAGTTATGGAAAGATCGGTTTCCAAAGGCCGGATCCCTTGTGAATCAAGTCACGAAAAGATCAAGAATCGGCAACAGGCCATGGGCCTATTTCTTCTGTGCCGACACTTCTATTCTATTCTATGTGAGCTAGTGAGGCTCGTAGGCAACAGAGACGGTACTTAAATTATACTGGCGATTAACTCGGCATTTTCTTGACCATGCAATGTTTTTTATCTATGCCAGCAGACATTAAATCGATGCTAAACAGGAATACGTTGACACTTAACACTTAAAGTTTACCCAAGACGTCACTCGCTGAACATAGAATTAGTGATTGATGTGAATGTGCGAATAAAAGATCCAATATTGATCTGAAGTATCTAATGAAGACATTTTTGCATGATGTGACTGAAGAATGGATATTCGATGCTCAAATTTTGCATACATATATTTTTGGTTGTCATTCAGGGCAATTTTTTTTATTTAAGTCCTCACCTCCTGACTTTGAACGCGTTGTGATTCTTGTTTGGGGGGTATTTGTGGAGGTGGTGGTGCCTTGGTGGTGCTTGGTTGTGGTGGTGGAGGTACCGGTGGTTGTGGTGGTGGAGGTACCGGTGGTTGTGGTGGTTGTGGTGGTTCAGTAGTAGGCCGATACTTTCGTTTGGGCGGGTCAGGAATTTTGGGAAATTTAGGCCTGAGTTCGTCAGTTAAGAAACTGTAGGGGCCGTACATCGTATCTTTGTTGCTCGGGACTCCGTAGAAATCGTGTCCAACTTCTTCGATTTCTTTTTCCTCGCCTCCATCAAATTTTTTCTCCTTGCGATTACTCCCACCGAAAATTTCTTCGCTGCCAAAATTATCGCGAAATTTTTTATCTCTTTTCTTATCGTCTTCTTCGTTGTTGCTTTCGGAAATCTTTAAATCGTCTTTCGATTCGCTGAAAAATTCGTCGTCGTCATCGTTGAAGAAATCGAATAATTCGTCATCCTTCTTTTCGTTTTTCGAATTCGCTTGAGCAGCCGACAACAGGAAAGCGATAACCAACACCTGAGGGTACAAAATAACAAAATAAATTTGAAAAAAATGAAATGAAGAGACACAATAATAAATATAAACGAAATAAACAGAGACAGGGATAAATAAGAATGAAATAAACAGATACGGGAATAAATAAGAACGAAATAAACAGACACAGGAATAAATAAGAATGAAACAAACAGACGTAGGAATACATAAGAACGGAATAAACAGACGCAGGAATAGATAAGAACGAAATAAACAGACGCAGGAATAGATAAGAACGAAATAAACAGACGCAGAAATAGATAAGAATGAAATAAACAGACAAATGAATAAATATGAATGAAATAAACAGACACGTGGATAAATGAGAACGAAATAAACAGACGAAGGAATATCGCGGTTACTATCTTATTTTAATTTCCCAATTGCGGAAGCTCGAATTGTAAATTATATAACCGTCATCCCTTATGACATGGCACTCTAATCCCAACTAACATTCAAATACATTCAATTGTTACGGTAATTAATTATAAGCTAGAAATTTAAGTATTTATTGTCGAGAATTATGAAAGAATTTCAGTAAGCTTCAAAACCTTTCTTGGATCTGCTTTAATTTTTAAGGCATTATTAAACATCAGCGAAGCATAAACATATATATCACTCATAGAAATGAGTGCAGTAACTGCTCGAGTCGCATACAGGTTGCAACTTAATTTACCAGTGCAATGGTCCTCTAACTGTGGTACGCGTAACACTAGTAGTACTCGAGGACACTCTTGGTCTTTGAAAATATTCGGTGTAAAAATGAAAATATTAGCTGCATTTGTTACCTAACACAAAAAGTTTCCTACTCAAAATCAGACTCTCTACCAACGATTTGCACCATTAGTCATGCACCACCAACCTGATCCTAGTGACCACCTTTAAATTCAAGCAGTGCAAGTAAATGGTCAATTTATTTTTAAATCATTAAAAAGAACAAAATAGCACGAACTTAGATTATTATCAACGGCTATGATGTACTACCGGTTGACGGGAAACGCTGGAACTTGGTGGTACCCAGGCACTAAATTGCATGGTTGCAAGTGGTACTCGATACAAAATGTTAGAGTCCTTGCATTATATAATAATTGCCCAATGCATATAACGTTGAAATGAAATTAAATAAATATATTTTTCACGAAATCAATTAATTATCAAATTTGTTTGTTTCGACATCATATGTTTCGTGGAAAATGCATGCGCATGTTCTTACATGTGCCAGTTGTTGCATGTGTTGCTACATTTGCATGTTCTCGCATGTGCCAGTTGTAGCATGCGTTACACGTTCTTTTTGTTCCGCTTCCACAGACTTATTGAGAAAATTGCTTAATCCTCTGACAAATTTCTTGATCGTTCACCTAATCCTCTCAGCATCGGCAGCCAGTGAAGCGACAGCGCGCAGCAGCAACAATAGCAAGCACCGGAGATGTGCACGCGTCGAGCGTGTCGCTCCGGTATGGAGCACAGACTTCGCTATTCTTGCTCAATCTTCAGTTTTTAACCCTCGCGTTATATTCGTTTAGAACAATCGATTTTCTCGAACGACGCAACGATTTTAACTTTTATATTATAATTTCTTCTGCCGATGAACAATTGCGTTTTTCGGCAGGCGTAACCGATGTGTGGTTTCGTTTGTTGAGCAACATTTGATAGCAGTTGCTTGTAAGGTGATAAACTTCATCTATTTATTAATGTAAATAACTCAGCCGACTATAGCCCACGTATGATTCAAATAGGATATGAATGAATAATCTATGTGATGGTCGGAATTTATCAGCCAAATAATGCTTATTAAAAATACGTAGCGAGAATTAGAATTACAAATTAGAAAATAATATCATCTATATTAATCTTCATTAATAAAGATGCTCATAACTTCAAACATTCTATTTCTGAAACTATATTGTGCATGAGAGCAAAAATGGTCATGCAAAGAGTTATGAAAGGTAAAGATTTAAAGATGTGAAGAAATCGAGTGCGAGAAAAGTTAAAGGTTCACTTGATAGAATTTAAATCCGCTGTTCAGCTGACAGAACCGCTACAGAAAAATGTTGTTTTTGGCATAAGGGAACGACCATAAATTTTTGAAGTTTAACAAAATTCAAGATGTTCTCATTTATATGTAAATGCGGTAATGGGAATAATTCAGTTTAGTGATGTTGTTTTTAACCAGAAAGTAATAGGTGAGTATTTAACTTTATTCATTTATTGAAATGAAGCGAATATAAATATTTAAAATCACCTTCAAATTTAGCAGGAAAAATAGTATATAGATTTTAAAATATCATTCATTATATGAATCAAAATTGAAATGTTGGGTTGAAATTCCTTGACGAATCACACTTGAAAGAAAAACTTAAGTAGGGATGAAAAGTTTAGCGAAAATGTTAAATGAGATTAAATTCAGAATTTTTACATTTCCAGCTATGCTGGTGAAATTCATGAATGCATTTAAGGACTCTTTAACTGATTGGTTTAGCAATTAGATCAAAATAAATGAATTTTGTTGGACATTTTCGTCAATGAGATTATCTTAATGCCAATTTCGGAATTAATTATCTTACAGCTCGAGTTCTATCAGATCACCGAACCCATTTCTACACACGCATCCAATCATTTCCAATGCTATTCCTACCTACGTTGTAGGTTAGTCTTTCATTGCCCATGCCGGCATGCGTGCTATCTTTTTTATATATCAAAATTATAACTCCGTACCTCGCCGCTGAATGTTCAATAAAAAATTTAAAAACGTGCCGGTAGAGATAATCCAACGCGAGTAGAAAATTATGCTAACGTATTATATTATATGTTATTTTATTATATAAAACAAGACTTGAAAATTATAAATCGTTTCTATATTAAGGATACTGTGTTTATTCAATAAACAGCATATTCATTAATTTTACGGTTGGTAAATGATCGAAAGTAACTGCAAATGATCGTCAAGTAACCAGAATCACTCTTCTCTCTAGGCCTTCAACAGGGTAACTTTCGTCTCCAGACATTCACCAAAGTCATTCTAGTCTCCATATATTCACAAGGGTCACTATTGTTGCCAGGCCTTCACCAGGATCACTCTTGTCTCCAAGCATGCAGCAGGGTCATCCTGGTCTCCAGGGGCCAGGGTCACAATCGTCTTCAGACCTTTACTCGGATCACTGTTTTCTCCAGGTCTTCACCAGGATAACTATTTTCTCCAGGCCTTCATGCACATAAGGACACTCATGTCTCTAGGCCTTCACCAGGGTCACTCTAGTCTCCAGACATTAAACAGGTTCACTCTTGTCTCCAGGCCTTCACCAAGCTCTCTCTTGTTTCCAGGCCTTCGCCAGGGTCAACCTTATCTGTAGACCTTAATCAGGGTCACTTTCGTCTCCGGGCCTTCACCAAGGACACCATATTGTCTCCAGGCCTTCACCTATTGTCTCGAGGGTTGCCCTCGCCTCAGGCCATCACAAGGGTTACTCATGAAGATCATACTCGCCATCAGGCCATCAGGTACGAATAGCATTGAGTGCCCTCTGAGAATCCGTGGGAAGAGAGTTACGAGTCTAAATATGAGAGTTCTGTCCAAGAGTTGCAGCGAACGGCGTTTCCGATTTCGCTATAAGAGAATGAGAGTTTCGATCTAAATGATTTTTTATACACAAACAAACCTTAGAAATCTACTTATGAATTGATGGACGATACTTTCGGTACTACGACCTTAAAAACATTTGGAGCTGCGATGCTTGGTATGAGAATTTAATTTACCCGCGCCTATCACGATCTACCTCCTCAAAGCTAAAATAAATTAAATTACCGATTTTACATCTTATAACGGTGCGAAATAGATGCCTGAAAACCTCCTGCTGATCTCATATAAGCAGAGCCAAAGACACTCATATTCCTTACCTTCCCTAGCAGTGCCATGTCGCCGACTGAAGTGTTCGTGGCGGCTCGTCTCTTTATATACGTTGTTCCGCCACGCTATCTACGACTCACTGGCATCATCGTTGTCTCAGCTCAACTAATCATTTTATACTTTTATACTGAACACAAATTTAAACTGAGGTGGAAAATAATGCGATGGAAAACCTATGTGAATTTTTCACGTAGTTATACATGAAAAATGAAAATTTTCAGGTATAACTTTATGTTGAATATTTTTATGAAAATTTTTTCATGTAGTAACACATTTGTGGGCGGCTCCAAAATTCAATTTGTTTTATTTTTGAAGGAGAGGAGCTAACGTGCTTCCATTGTTTGTTCCTTGATTGTCTTAATATTATTTAATATTATATTTATAATATTGTTGACATTGTTTTTTTCGTAATAATATTGAATGCAGAGACTCACATAAAGAGAGAGGCTGTAAATTAACCTGTTAGAAGAATTCACTGCAACGCAGCAGCTGTAGAACGCAGATGTTAATCATGTACAGTTGCTTGCAGCTGGTGAGGCAGAGCTGTAGAGTAGAACTGCAACTAGTATTGCAGCTGTAGCGGGAACGCGTTTTAAGTGCGGAAGCTTTGCAGCCGGAGAATAAAACAGACCGTTGATAAAACAGAGTAGCAGCTGTAGAGCCGCAGCCGTAGAGCAGCAGCCATAGAGCAGCAGCCATAGAGCAGCAGCCGTATAATCACGCACGGCTGCTCAGGACACAACAATAGGTTCAGGTAAGCACCGCAGGTTGCATCTCTGCATCGTCGCACCATCGCTGCTTAGCCGAGACGTTGCTCCACTGATGGCAACCCTTGCTGAACGTTGAAATAAAAGCGCAGTAATCCTGGCTAAACGGTTCAATCCTGGTTAAATAGTGCAATCCTCGTTAAACGGTTCAGTCCTGTCTAAACAGAGCAATCCTGGCTAAACGGTTCAATCCTGGCTAAACGGTTCAATCCTGTCTGAACGGTTCAATCCTCTCTGAACTGTTCAATCCTGTCTGAACGCTTCAATCCTGTCTGAACGGTTCAATCCTGTCTGAACGGTTCAATCCTGTCTGAACGGTTCAATCCTGTCTGAACGGTTCAATCCTGTCTGAACGGTTCAATCCTGTCTGAACGGTTCAATTCTGTCTGAACGGTTCAATCCTGTCTGAACAGAGCAATCCTGTCTGAACGGTTCAATCCTGTCTGAACGTAGCAATCCTGTCTGAACGGACCAATCCTGTCTGAACGCAACAATCTTGTCTGATCGGAGCAATCCTGTCAGAACGTAGCAATCCTGTCTAAGCTAGATTACTACTCGCTCCTGTAAGCAGGATATAATTTCTCATAGCAGCAATCTTCGAATTCTGCAATATTTACCGAGCACTTTTATTCTCGGTCGAATGAGAATGGATTGTGAAATTTATTTAATAACTTCCACTTTTTGGACTGGAAATGAAAACTCTACAACATATTCACAGAAACGTGTATTGATATGAAATTAGGATATTTGACATTACTCAACAGAATTTAATAGTTTAAATTAAATACAAGCACATAACCTGCAACAATTTTGATAATTCAGGATTAGACACTAGAGTTTAGAAACACGAATGATTAAATTTAGGATTTTATGAGGTTTAAATTTAGTTTACTTCAATATTTACGGACGGTAATTAAGGAAAGAATCATGTCATATAAATGGATAGTAATTCATCATATGGTGATAGAATATAGTTATTTAATATCCTGGCTGGCTGTATGTGATAAAATTTTCCCACTTAGCAACGAACGAAACCTATACTCAAGAATGAGGACAGTAACGATTAAATATTGTTTCGATATTAACGAAAGATGATATAAAAGAAGCAAAATATCAAAATTACAATATCGACCAAACACTGTAAATGGAGGAAAAGTTATTAGCTACTAAATTAAATGAAATGTTGATTATAAAGCGAAAACTCTTCTTGTTAAATCAACAGAAGTTGATATTAATGCAGCAAAAAATCTTAACCTAGGAGCTGCTACTAATAAACAAAACAATCCTCCCCTGAATGGCAAAAGCTCGTCTAATCCTACTTCAGCGCCGCAGGATGTAGTAGGGTAAAGCAGGATCAGTTAGTGTCTGAGATCCTGGCTGTTTTGCCGATTTAAAAATATTAGATTAGATTACGACTCAAATTTTGAACTGGGTACTGATTTAAATGAAACCCTTGATGCTGCTCTCATGCTGCTTCAGGAGCTTAGATAGCAGCTCCAGGTATCATCAGCAGATTTATCAACTCCAGGTCTCAGCTCTTATCAGGAGCAGATTTATTAACTCCAGGTCTCAGCTCATATCAGGAGCAGATTTATAAACTCCAGGTATTAGCTCTTATCGTGGGCCGAGATATCAGCTTCGGGTATCAGCAGCAGATATCAGCTCATATAAGGAGCCATGATATCAAATCCAGATTTCAGTAGCCGAGATATCAGCAGTTTATCAGGAGCTTAGATATCTGCTTCTTATCAGCGACCTAGATATCAGCTGCAGTCATCAGCTGTTTATCAGGTGCTGACGCCAGCAAGGCAGACGGCAGCTGACACAGAGGAGCTCGCTTCAACAGCTGCTGGCTGACGAGCTCGAACGGAATCGGGCAGTCGGGAAACTCCTGTCGGGATAATCAATGTTGACTTTATTATAATCATTGGTAACTCAATGATAATCAATGTAAACTCAATGATAATCATTGTAAACTCAATGATAATCATTGTTAACTCCATGATACTCATCTGTTAACTTAATAAGATGATTGTACACTGTCTGTCATCAGACACACAATAGAATCATTAGATATATGGTAAGATGGGATAATTTCTGCAGTAACTTGTGATACAGTAAATTGTAACATCGCCTATTACGAATAGTGCGATTTTCCCAACAGCAACATAGGTAACTCCTTAAGTAATATACAGTATATCGCCCCCACTTATTGGCCCATATATGGGTAACTCCTATAATAATATGTCGCCCCACTTATTGGCCCCTATATGGGTAACTCCTATAATAATATGTCGCCCCACTTATTGGCCCATATATGGGTAACTCCTATAATAATATGTCGCCCCACTTATTGGCCCATATATGGGTAACTCCCATAATAATATGTCGCCCCACTTATTGGCCCATATATGGTAACTCCTATAATAATATGTCGCCCCACTTATTGGCCCATGTATGGGTAACTCCTATAATAATATGTCGCCCCACTTATTGGCCCCTATATGGGTAACTCCTATAATAATATGTCGCCCCACTTATTGGCGCATATATGGGTAACTCCTATAATAACATATCGCCCCCACTTATTGGCCCCTATATATCCATTACCCATTTCAAATGACTAGATCCTTGGATTTTTCTTCCGTTAGTTACTCTTCACATTTCATCACTCCCTCACCACCCACCGCACTTCCTCTTCAACTGACCCACCGCTTCACCGCTCACCACACCCCTCACCACCCACCACACCGCTCACCACCCACCACACCGCTCACCACCCACCACACTCCCTCACCACCCACCACACCCCTCACCACCCACCACACCCCTCACCACCACACCTCTCACCACCACACCTCTCACCACCACACCCCTCACCACCCACCATCTCGCAGGCCCTCCCCTCCGCCCCCACGAGGGCCGCGTGCAGGAATTTCCCCTCAGGTTCCTGCAGCGACGCTGGCGAGGGCACCCCGCCAGACCGCGACCTGTGATTCATGGTAATTAGCGACCATTGTAATTAGTGGGATAATTAATGGCTGCTGCGGTCATTGCGCAAATTATAAATTAGGAACTAATGAACTGTAGCTGGATAATTGACGAAACTTCAATTGTACTAAAATACTATGAAATTGTTAATTAGTAACAAAATTCTACCTCAATAAGAAACATTACGGTTGACTAATTTAAGTGCTTATAACATAATGTTGATACAAAATTTGAGTCAAAATTTTGCTGATAATTATATATAAATTCTTAAAATTATGTCAGCAGGTCTACATGATTAACTTCCTCATTTGGATCCTTAAGGATTGCTCTGCTTATGCACGAATATCCTTATTCCAGTGCCACTTACATCAGCACTGATGCAACCTTATGACCTTATGATGAGTTTGGGACTTCCTAGTCCCTGCCCCGATCACGCTGATGCGCCGCCTTCGTCGTCCTCCGTCTCCGAGTCGTCGTCGGATGTAACGTTGGACGTGTTCCGTCTATTTGCCCTCCTTTGGGCCAGCTGATGCAAGATGCTGTTGCTTGTCACTTGCTGAGGATAGTTTCCAATTACTGGACAATCCGGGATCTTTCTCAACCACTTGTCCAGTTGTCTCTTGAATGTTGCAAGGGTGAACTCCCCTCCTCTCAGCGCTTTTGGCAAGGCATTAAAGAGCCTCGGTTCTGCCACGGACAGTGATCCCTCACAAAGAGTCTCTACTCTGGACGCGGCTCGGTTATTAAATGGGGGAATTCTACACAATCTCCCCCTCCTTACGTTGTAATATGTCAATATTCTGTGGGTCTCGCTCTCAAAGTTGGGAGACAGTCCAGTTATCATCTTCCAAGTGTACAGTATGATCTCTCTTTTCCCCTCTCTAGTGAGTGCAGTTCCAGGTGTTTCAATCTTCCCCATTAGTCCTGCTTAAGCTCCTTCATACCGCTGATCCTGGACGTGAAGGTCCGTTGGACTGATCGACTCCAGTTTCCGCATCGCGCCTGCCTTGAGCAGCGCCCAAAGTTGGCAGCAATACGCAAGATCGGTGAACACGAGAGCTCTGAAGAGTGTAATCATTGGTGCTGCTTCTCTCGTTAGAAATGTCCGCCATATCCGTCCCATCCGATGTCTGCTTCGCGCGACTATTTCCTCGATGTGGGCATCGAACGTGGCTTCAGTACTCATCAACACTCCGAGATCTCGAACAAGTTACTTCTCAATTACTGTGCCATCTGATGCCAAGTAGCGATGTGGCATCGCGGTCTCTGTGCGGACTCTGTATCTCATTACTTCGAACTTGGTGTCGTTGAACTGCATATTGTTTAGTAGGGCCCAATCGTATATTGCCGACAAGTCATCGTGTAACCTCTCGCAGTCTCTGTCCTCTGTGATCTCCATCAGCACTCTTGGATCGTCCGCAAATGACGATGTAGATGCGTGGGTAAGCTCCAACTCGATATAAGCGATGTGGATGAGGCACCACCCCACCGTGCTCACCACCAACCCCCACCATCACCAAACCTCAAAACGATACCACCACACCTCACCACACTACCCCACCGCCGCACTACATCACCACACCCCCCACAACACCTCGACCACACCTCACCACACTACCACCCCACACTCGCCACCCACGCGAGGGTGTCAAGGAGGCTGGACTGTAGCGCAGTGCGGTCTGTCGTCGGCGTCTGGGCGGCCGTACAGACGACACCCGCCAGACAGCCCAGCTCGTCCAGATCGTACAGCACCTGGTCATGAAATTAGTAATTAAGATAAACATTATGAACATAATTTGATAAATCTAACATAACCTTAGATGAGCTGCAAGATTTTGATGTTATTTTCAACGCTGGTGATGCTCTTAATCAAGTGCTGTCCGTAAAACTATTGAAAACTATCGACATATAAAGAAGTAGATATACTAATGAAATGTTAATATAATAGTTCGAAGACCTGCATCATTAGGTGATGCGCCCGTGCTTGCAAATCATCTTCATCATCAGGACCATGTTGTCCATCTTGCCCATCACGACCACCGTGACCATCGTAAGAAGAGTGTTCTTCGGCACCCCTTTTCCTGCGGCCGGTGTATGTGGTGAACCCCAAGATGACTGCCAGGGCGGCCATCTGGAAAGTGATCGCAATGCTCGCACCCACCAGGTTGTTCTGCGCTTGCAACGCCGTGAAGTTGTATACCATTGTGGTGGTGATCGAGACGGTGGTGACCTGGTTGGAATATTTGTTGGATAAATAAACATCATTTTAATTCTGCCGTTTAGCGTTCTTGATGATGATGTTGGTTGGGGCAACCAAAATGCTCCAACAAAATTTGAATGCGGGCCTGACGCAGCAAATGGCTCCGCCCAGGACTCGGGGAGCACGTAAATCAGCCGCTCATTGTCTGCTTCGGCCGGGCTTGCAGTGCAGCCTCTCAGCAGCTTGCACGCTCGGTATGACCAGACGATGCATAAATTGGCTTGATAGGGCTTATGAAACTTGGCTATGAAAATTATTTTGTAAAAAAAATTATCAGTTTCTTTAAATGCAAGAAAATAATCTGGAAGGGGTTGAAATTTGTATAAAGATCTCTCTAGTAGATGATTTCTCATGTGTTATACCACAAATATTTAGGATCTATTGTAACTCAAATGAACAGAAAGTATTCACTATATAATATTTTCACAGACAAGAACATCGTGAAGTAATCATTTATATCACCACCTAGGTCTTTGAAAACATTTCTTGCTCTTACTGAGAATAAGGAACGATGCTGCCACTGCGATTGCCTCAATACATCTGACCGCTCAGGGACAGCCGTCCGTCTTATATACACTTAGATAGCCCAACAATGAAAGCAAATAGCAGTAATTTCTCCGCCATTAAATTCAGCCACAAGTGCTGGAGTTGAAAAGCAATCCACTTATTGGAGCAAAATGTCCATGAAATGTTAAGGAAAATGACTTTATACCACTGCACGAGTTCAACGGCAAAGTTTCGGTGTGATAACTAGATGAAAAAAACTGGAAAATGAACGTATTAAATATACAAGAAGAACGGGAATTTAACGGGCGCTAAAGTTGCCCAGCGTTGCCGTTATACGATATGTACAGCGTTCGCTGTAGCGCAGTCACACTCGTCGTCGTCGATACGAGTGTTAGGATTTGCGATATGAGCGTCAGGATGTGCGATATGAGCGTTAGGATGAACGATACGAGCGTTAGGATGGGCGATGCGATCGCCAGGATGCGCAATATGAGCGTTAGGATGTGCGATACAAGCGTTATGATGTGTGATATGAGCGCTATGATGAACGATACAAGCGCTAGGATGTGCAATACGAGCGTTAGAATGTACGATACAAGCGTTAGAATGAACGATACGAGCGTTAGGATTTGCGATACGAGCGTTAGGATTTGCGATATGAGCGTTAGGATGTGCGATACGAGCGTTAGGATGTGCGATACGAGCGTTAGGATGAACGATACGAGCTTTAGAATGAACGATACGAGCGTTAGAATGAACGATACGAGCGTTAGAATGAACGATACGAGCTTTAGAATGAACGATACGAGCGTTAGAATGAACGATACGAGCGTTAGGATTTGCGATACGAGCGTTAGGATGTGTTATATGAGTTTTAGTATGTACGGCCTAACGCTCCTATAACACATCCTAACGCTCTGACAAAATTTGAGGACATTGATAAATCTAACATTAGTACGGCCTTTAAGATGAGCGATACGAGCGTTAGGATATGCAAGCCAAAGGAAAGTTTCCTTTCTATTCCTTTCTTGTGATCAGGACAATTGCAGGAGTTGCTTGGAAGCTGGACCAGGTTCATCTAGCAGTTCCGAGTTAATGCTCAATCATTATCTACTTAGAGCAACTTTCTCAGCGATTGTAGTTCGCTCTTCCCTTCGCTTTCTTAATAATGCTTCGTGGCCATTTTAATATGCATGCCAGCAAGTATTCTTAACCGGCACAATGTTGGGGACTAATCAATAAACCAGTTTTCTCTGACCCTAAACAATCGACCAGTGATCGTAGTGATCCGACCAGTGATCCAGTTCATGCGGTATGAAATGAAATCAATAGGCCAATTTTTCAACGTTCCAGGTTCATCACTCCATTCCTATCATTCCAGTCCTTCGTTCCAGTTCTCTGACCACATCTCAATTTCTGGTTTATTAGCATGACTGACGGTATCTTTATGCATGAATATTATTGAACATTATTTGACAGCATCTATATTTTAATACTTTTATTTTAACTATTCAATACCTAATATTATTATTTACTTATTATTATTATTCATTCAAAAATTATTTTAATACTTTTATACTTTTTCATTTATTGACTATTTAATATTGGAAAATTATACACTTAAGTTTGTACACATTAGACCCTAATTGTATTTCTTTCAACATCTTTAAATTTAAACCTAATTTATCGGTAGTCCCGATATTTTATGATTATTTTGTCTGTTTTAGTGGTTGGAAATCATCTGTGATCTAAACTTTTCACTAAAAAATCTATTAGGAAAACATTTTTAGGCACGTTCATGAAATGAATTTGCATTAATCAAATCAGAAAATATAAATATACCTTGGATTAGTAGTAACATGATCTTTTGTTTACTCAAATAACAATTTGACGATGAGTTTGAAGGCAAAAACAATGCAAAGATGCACTAAAAAACATTTCATTATTCTAAATTAAAATATGGTAAATTCTTGAACGATTTCTTTTATTTAAAATTCTTTATCCAAAATGTTAATGCTCAGCAAATCATTCGTGATTTAATATTTATGTCAGTAAATAACTATTGAATATTCAATAGGTAATAAATTTTATATCTAACTATATTGTTCGAAGGTCTCACGTGGAACGGATGAATAAAACAGATTTTATATAAATTTTATTACAGTAGTCTAATACTGACAATTTCTAAGTTATACACATATATGGGTTAATTAACATATCTACGTCTTTAGTCCTACTTATGTAATGATACATAGAAAATTATATAACACAGATGGAGTGAAATTAATGCTTGTAAAAATCAAGGAATTTATAGTCTGCCTCGAAGCATAAGACAAATTTTTAATCTAAAAACACTAATCTAAAACACGATTAAAGTTAGTTACACGTTTTACTTGAAGCACTTATTAGCTTGTGTGCAATGCCCCTATAGCTACGTGGATTGATATACGACGAATAACTACTGTTATGCTATTCGTATTGCAACGAAAACATTCGTGGATTAACGAATGCCCAGGATACATTGGTGTGAACACGATATTTTTTGCCGTTGTAAAACAACGGATGTTTTTTTATTGCCGTAATTTTATTTAGATGGATAATGAGAGAGCAATACGAAGATTTGATATTCACATTCTTCGCCATGCTCCAGCACATTACGAAATAGTAATTTTTCATCAGTGCACCAGTGTTGGCTACTTGTTGGACATCTAAGAATTTACTGAATATCGCTTTAAAAAATTTTCACATCATTAACGCATCACGAGTTACTTTTTATTCTTGAACCAGCTAATTTACAAATAAAAATTGTCATATATTGATAGCTGGAGGGAATTCGGCTCTATTTGCGTGAAGCAGTGAATGTTTATAAGGCGGAACTACAGGCTACGCAGCAGCTTTTGATATCGTGCAAACAGTCAAGATTATAAAAAAACGCGCAGATTTAATTAGGACTTAATTTGCCTTAATTAAGTCTTAATTAAGTTAATTAAATAAGTCGTAATTGCACTAACTTCCTTTACAGGAAGTTAGTGCAGTTCAGTTTAAAATTTTCCGCCTTCAAGCAATCATATACCAGATAGATAAATGTGAACTAGAGAAAGATTTAAAATCTTTTGAATTCTACTTAAATGCGAACTGTAATATAGTGAAAAATCTGAAAAATACAAGAAATGGACAAAAAAAGTGACTCGAAATACATGTATTTCTTATAATTATTTCTCATGATATACCGATTTTTTAATATTCTTAAAATATTAATTAGGTATATGAATATATATATTGATTAATCTTTTAAATGATTAGATTTGATCAGTTAACTCAAAATGCAGGATGAATCTTGGAAAATTCATCATCAGATATACATTTAATTTGATCTAAAGTCTATCTTGATGAAATCATAAAAATATGGAATAAGAGAAAATATATTTCGTAAATCTAATTAATAGAGAGCGAATTTCACGAATGAGAAAGTCTTTGAGTTTTCAACATGACGATAATGGAATTAGATTCTGTGCGCTAATAAGTCAACATGTTAACAAATTTATTAAAATTCGCAAGTTGAAAAGCAATAAAATAATTTTTAAAAAATGAAGTAGAAAAGTATTAATCTTGAAATGTATACAAAACCTATTCCCAACGATGAATTTAGCTCAATTTAATATTCAATTTAAATCAAAAAAAGAACGAGCGGTAATTACCAGTCACTGGATAGCTCGTTGGGCAGCGTCTAAGTCCCCTAACAGGCGATTCTGAGGCGCCGTTTAGAATTTGACTGAATTATCTTGCACTACTTCCTAAAATTAAGATCTTCAGTTCCGTATCTTTCAATTTTGATCCATTACTAGAAAAAATTATTATTTTAATATTTTTCAGCTTCTTCAATTGATTTTTCATCTGAAACTGAAATATATAATAATTAGTCCAATTATCTAGGATGAAAGGTATTTTTCCTCAAACTAGTATTTAATTAAGTAATCTCAAAATCGGAGTGTACTTTAAGTTAAAAAATGAGTCAATTATTCTTAACATTAAAATCATCATGTTATAAAACGGGATATTTTTACTAAATAAAGGAGTACAACCTAACTTTGGCTGCGTTTTCTTTATTCTAATCGATCGCGTTCAACCATTTTTCAGATTTAATGATTGCCTGATAAACGGTAACAAAGTCGGTTTTAACACAGCCTCATCACCAAAAAGTTTATTGCTAAGCGTAATTCATTTAGAAACAATCATAACGCAGGCGTTAGCGAACTGCTGGTATAAGGACGTAAAAAGTTCACTCCGATCCTGCTGAGTGTAGTGCATCTGGCGTAGTGGGACACAGAGAAGTAGGATTTTCCACAGTAGAATCTTAATAAGTGGGATCTCGAGGATTTTGGGGGATCAGTTACACCCTGTGGGGATCAACAGGAATCTCATGATGGATCAGTAGCAGGTGCAGTGAGTGGGAGGGCAGTGGGAGGCCCCGGGGTGGAAGCAGTTGCTGGTGCACCAGAAGTCCATGCCAGGGATGCTCCGCCAGACGCCGACAGCGCGACATTGCTTGCTGTAGACAAAGTGTGAATAAATTTCTATAAAAACAACATTTCGAGAAAAGAACATTAAATGTTGACTGCATTTTAAAGTGATGATATCCCCTCACATTATAGGGCGTGAATAACACATCTGTTCTGTAATATTATGACCGGAGGAAACACTTTCAGCATATTCACCTAATTTCCAGGTATATTTTCGGAACACTTACACTAATAGCGTAAATTTAAATAAAATACTCAGATACATAAGGTTTTGGAAGCCAGTTCTAATTTAAATTGAGAATAGAGTCATTTGATGACCAAAATAACGGTGATATAAAAAAAAATATATCAGTACTCACTGCAGTGAGTGACAGAGAGCGCATTTTCTCGTTGCCGAGTATCATGGATACTCGGCAACGTGAAATCCCAGACAGACAGACAGACGGACGGACGGACAGACGGACGGACATGACGAGCACAATGGCGCCTTTTTTCATAAATGAGAGAATGCGCTAAAAATGACGTATTTCCAAAAACTATTAATGAATTTCTCACCCGAACGGTGGAAGTTGATAGTAGGGCGGTTGTGTTTGCAATATGGGCCGTTTGGCTGACCCTTCGTATGATGGCCACTGGGTGGACACTTGGGATGGCGGCCTATGGGTGGGCACTTGGTATGGTGGCCTTTGGGTGGACGCTTGGTATGGTGGCCTATGGGTGGACTCTTGGTAAGGTGGCCTTGTCTGCACTGGCCTGAGAGGACTGGGAGGGTTGGTTGGAGGACGGACTGACGTTGATGGCCAAGAGGGCGAAACAGGCGGCCACCATGTCGAAATTTGAGGTCTACCAGTTGAAACAGTGGGCCAGGCTGTTGAAACGGGTGGTCTAACGGGTGAAAGTGGCGGCCTACCAGTTGAAACAGGTGGTCTAACAGTTGAGTCGGGTGAAACAAGGGACCAAATGGTTGAAGCAGGAGGTCTGACGGTCGAAGTAATCGGTCTAACTGCAGAAACAGGAGGACTAACGGCCGAAACCGGGGGTCTAAAAGACGAAACAATTTGCGGGAAAGTAACAGTGGGTGTTACCTGCGGTCTTGCCGTGACAAAAGCATTTTGGGTCTGACTGTGGATGGTACTTTGGGTTGGCGCAAGAATAGGGGGCCTCTGGGTGAGGGGCTCAACAAGCGGGGGCCTTTGGGTGTCTGGGGAAATGGGGACGTGGACTGCAGATTCCTCAGCGGGTGAGTCCTGAATGAGTGGGACAAATCCCTCCTGCCAGGGACGCAGGTCGAGCTGTTTGTAGTTGAGGCAGCTCGTGAGGGCATTCCTGAAGAAACAATGAGTCATGCAAGATTTTATTGTAACTAAAAGTTTATTCAATTAACGTACGGCTTCTGCCGAGTCAAAAAGATGGCATGCTCAATGACTGCTATGATGGTGCATTTTGATGGTGAAAAAGTTGGGCATCTTGGTCGTCATCATTACCCACGTTACCCTCTCGTGAGGGGCTAAGGTTTTACCATCACTCGGTTAGGTCACTCTAGGGGTTTAGGTGCCAGGAAGAGACATATTTTTTTCAGCAATATATCCTTTATTACCCTCATTACCTTCCATCGTTACCTCACCTGAGAGGTTCTGGTGCCAGGAAAGGGCTTGGTTGTAGCTCGACGATGTTCGTGTGGTGGCAGAGTAGTGATGACAGCCAAACACTCCGTAGCTCCTGTAGCTGCGCTGGAAGTTCACAAGTTACGTAGTTAATTTCAGTTATCCAATTCCAACTAAATCACTATAAATTGTGATGATTAGAACGATCACAAGTTACGCAGTTAATTTAAAATTCCAACTCCAACTTAAATCACGATAAATTATGATGATTGCAACGGTTTCCTAACATAGGCAAATATGATTCCAATTCAAATCTTAAGTCATTTTACTTGAGCTGTGGACAGGAAATTTCGATATGACAACAATTTTATATGTGAATTAAAACTATTAACTTTACGAACATATTTTACTATTCAGATTGTTCTAGTTAGTTTGACCCTTATGGTCCAAGGACAGAACAATGGGAAAATATTTCTACCAAAATAAATATTAGATCCATGCTAACATTGTCCCATGTTACCATAAATATAGATAAAATTATCTATGCGTATACAAAAATATAAAAAGTGATTTTTACTTGGGCGGCTGGTGTTCTGTATGTTTTAAGAATGGATTGTGAGCCAATGAGCGAAGAGGATGTAATTAAACATAAGTTAATTGCTGGTAATTTAAAGGTAGAGGTTTGGAGCTGCATTAGACTACGCATTATTGATGTCATTTTTTGCCTTTAAAAATAAAAACAATTTGTCCTAAATCAGCTGTTCAGATCTTAAGCCAGGAGTGAAGGTTCGGGGTCTCTCATAAGCTAAAAAAATAACAATAATAAATTATATTTATTAATAATAATAATTATAATAAAACTGACAATAATAATAATGACAATAATAATAATAATAATAATAATAATAATAATAATAATAATAGCAATAAGACAGACAGACGGACGGACAGACAGACGGACGGACAGACAGACGGACGGACAGACAGACAGACAGACGGACGGGCAGACAGACAGACAGACAGACGGACATGGCGAGCACAATAGTGCATTTTTTCCATAAATGAGAAGATGCGCTAAAAATTCAGACAGAATTAAAAATTTGCAGGGAAATTCAAGCAAAATTCAGAATTAGAAAGAAGAATCGTGGCTTTGTATAGTTGTTTTATTGGTGCACAATAATATGATGTGATATTATAATCATAATAAATTTATTTGACGAAAAGAGATTCAACTGCCAAAGTTTAAAATTGGTATCTCAACCAATGCGATATCTGGAAAGAAAATATTTATTATATTTCCGAGTTAGCAATGTATTTCCTGTAAGATCTTCAGAGTTTCATCAATTGGGCACATTTTAATATAGAATAATCAATACATAAAATGAAAATGAAATAATAAACTTCCAAGAGCAATGAAACCATGCCAACAAACGATAATACAAAAAGAATATTCTGGTTTTATATGTGACAATATTTATCAAATTACTATTTTCGAAATATTGCCTATCGCAGTAGGATTGGCATTGATCAGTCGCTCTCACTGTACGGACAATTTTATACATTACTTTTCATAGTATGAAAATTTCTCATCTCGATAAAATTAGGTTTCGCAAAATTTACTCATAACTTAAGGTTCAATTTAATAATTTAAGGTTCAATTTAATAATTTAAGGATCAATTTAATAATTCAAGGTCAAATTTAATAATTTAAGGTTCAATTTATTAATTTAAGGTTCAATTTAATAATTTAAGGTTCAATTTAATAATTTAAGGTTCAATTTAATTTAAGGTTAAGGACTCGCTTGTAGAGTCGCTGGAATTTCTCGACGGTCTGCCTCGGCAGGAAGGCCGTCAGGTCGGTAAAGGACGCCGCGGTCGGCAGGCCGCAGGCTGCACGCCAGTGATTGTAGCCTGCCAGGCCGTGGTCACGGCCGCGCTGAAAAAATAGTTTAATTATTTATTTTAATAATAATTAACAACCACACCTTTTCTTCGTGTATCTATTTATATTATTGAAAACTAATAGCCACACCTTTTATTTTTTCCTACTTTAAGACACAAATTATTAAATCCAATACTAGCAGGTTGAACCGACGTTTCCCGGGACAGATAATCTCAGCAAAGTTCAAACTATAGCTATTCCGAACCCGAACCCTAGCAATCTGAATTTTTAATCCAGAATTGAATATTCAGAGTTTAATTCTAAAGTTGACGAACTTAATTTAATGACTGTCACCTGCCAATCAATATTTTGCATGGAGCTCTCATTCAGCTCGAAATCAGAAACACTTTCGTAATTTTTTATTATTGTTAAATTTTAACGAACTGGGTTGATAGTAATATTTCAATTTCATTATTCATCAGCTCTAGTAATGAAAATTCTTGAATATTCGGGTCCCGGTAATACCCCGAAACGATTAGTATCCTGGATACGCGCTTCAACAGTCCCTGTATATTTGTGGTGCCAGGATGAAACACACAAATTTAAAAATATAGAAGAGTTTTAATAAAAAAACACTGAGAAGTCTTGCCTAGCTTTGCTACGCATGCCTTTGCCTAGTCTTCTGAATCGATATTATGTACAAAAGCCGGAATTTGTTTATTCTTTTGTCAGTCTACGAGGTGAAAATTCTATAAGGTAATAGCGATATAATAATTATCATACAAAGTATTACATTATTCCAAGTCCCTCACCATCACATTCAAGGCGTAGAGGTCGAGGCCGATGGGGAACCTAGCAGAACCAAAGAGGTTGTTGGTAAGGGTAGGAACCATGTACTCGTCAGGATCCTGCGACGACTCTAGTGTTAAGCTCTGCAGGAACTGCGAGGGACGCGTGCCTTCCTTCTTCAGGACGTCGGACTTGAAGAAGGAATCCAGCAAAGTCAAATTGCCGGAAGGTCCTTGCATCAGAATGTCATCCACTAAACTGTGACCGAACCTGTAGGACGAAAAAACATTAACCTTTCTAGCGAATATTTAAATGTATTTGTTCACCTGAAGTTTCAGCGGGTGTTTGCTTAAGCGTTTTCTTTTCGCAGAAAGGTTGATCAACTGATACAAGGTCACCAGAAATGAATAATTCTCTTTTGAAATCCAACTATGCATGAAAATTTCCTAAATGTATCTCAAATAAATCCTCTTCACAATATTCTTCTAACCCGCACCCAACACGGTCTCCAGAAGTTGATAATTCTCATTTGAAATCCACCTATGCATGAAAATTTCCGCAACGTATCTTAAATAAATCCTCTTCACAATATCCGTGCAAACCGCACCAACAAGGTCTCCAGAAGTTAATAATTCTCTTGTGAAATTCAACTATGCATGAAAATTTCCTAAACGTATCTTAAATAAATCATCTTCACAAAATTCGTCTAAACCGCACCCACTGCCCACCTGAAAGCAGCAGCAGCGAAGACATTAGGAGTGGTGGGGTCTACGGTCTCGTTGTAGCCGTGGTAGTAGCCCTCACTCTGCAGCCACAGCCTGAAGTGGTCCATAGGCGCAGACCCCAGCACCACGGGCAGGAACTCTCTGTAGACCACCTGCTGCAGCAGGGCGCCCACCACGCGACGACTCTCCTGCAATGGTTAATGTATTCTTTGTGTGTGCTTAAACAAAATAATGATGATCTTACTTTATGGTAACAAAGTCATTTGTTAAAATATTCATAGATAATATAATCATTGGTAATATAATCATTTTATATTATTGTCACATGGTAATACATTCATGTGATGATAAAATCATATGTTATACATATACATAGGTTACGGTTTACCAAGACAGATTACTTTACTCACTTACTAAAATCTCTATCACTAAGTACGTCGACAATTCTGCCATCATTTTATAAAAAAAAATGCTCTTAATCTGTGCTACATTCAAAGATTATTATTTTATTTCGATACCATGGTGCCCATGATACTTTTAAAAGTAATTTGATCTCCTGGTATTATTATAATGCATGGTAGATATGATTTAAAATCTGTGATACTTCAACAGGTAATTTAAATATATAATATTTTTATACCTGGCATCTGTTCCAACCCCAGGTATTATTTTAGGAATAATACCTGAAGAATAATAATGAGACACAATAAGAGTTAATGCAAAAGGTATCTGTAATAATTGTGACCGGTAATTGAAATAAAGTTTTTTTAATAACTAATTATATTTATAGTTCTGGTGTTATTTGGAAAGGTTTTATTAATTTTAGTACCTGGTAGACGCGGTCGCTGGACCAGCCAGGGTTAAGAGAGGCGAGCTGGGCGGCGACAGCGTTGTGGACGCGCATGAAGAGGACGTGAAGTGACGTGAGGCCTGGCTGCTCGTTAGCACGTCCGTCGCCTGGGACGAACGAGACGAGGGAGTCACTTAAAGCGAGACGAGGGCATAACTTAAAGTGGGAAGAAGAGAGACTGGGATAAAACTTAACGAGGGACGAGAGGAGACTGGGACAAAACTTGACGAGGGGAGACTGGGGCAAAATTTAACGCTGGACGAGGGGAGACTTGGACAAAACTTAACGCGGGATGAGGGGAGACTGGGACAAAACTTAACGCGGGACGAGGGGAGACTGGGGCAAAATTTAAAGCACCTGATATGAAGTGTATGACACGGCACCTGATATGAAGTGTATGACACGGCACCTGATATGAAGCAGGTGCTGGTGGTCTGCGCATGGCAACGTTGCTCAGGGAGCAGACCAGCGTTGCAGGTCTGCCTAGGGCAGCTGCTACCATGTGAAGGAGAACTGCCCGCTGGTAGAGTGGTTCTCAGCTGCCCTCGAGAACCTGGGTCGCGTAAGTGGTTCGCAAGGAACTGTGAAGTTCCGTAGAGAACAGAACCGTCCAGGTAGGAGGTCACTTGGTTCAGCTGTTCACGTGGACCTGAAATGAAAGTTAATTTTCTAGAGTTGCTATCGCAATGTATGACGGATGAAGCTAACAAATGTAAAATAGGGCAAAAAGTTAAAGAATATACCTTAATGCATTATTTTATGTTTGTGGACCTGATTTGAAAGTTGAATTTTCTAGAGTTGCTATCGCAGTGTGTGATGGATGAAGTTAACGAATGTAAAATAGGGCAAAAAACTCAGAGAATAAAGCCTTAATGCATTATTTTATGTAATGATTCTCTTATTCCTAGTTTGGTTAACTTAATTATCTTTTAATAATTATTTAAGCGCCTCTTAGATAGTCTAGCGGTTGGTCATGCACTAATTTCACTGCTATAAGACCGTGTCGCCTCTAGTGCAAGCATCACGCTAATTGTGTAATGATTATTATAAAAACGTTATTTACTCAACCATTTTTCTGATATCTCGGTAGATAAGTAAGGTAGTGATGAGTTTATGCTATCATTAAAATGCAAAAAAAAAATAAATTAAATAATAAATAATATATAATAATAATAAATAAAAAATATAATATAAATAAAATATATAAATATATAATAAAAATAATAAAATAATAACTATTAATAATTAATAAAAAATTAATGTTAATTTAAATTTATTAATTTAATACATAATTAATTATAAAAGTAATTAATAAAAAAGAAATTAAAATCGATATTTACCCAGCCTGCAGCCGGTGTCTGCGACCAGGGACCTGACGAAGCGCATGCAGACGCGTCCCAGGCGGGCGTAGAAGCGGTCCCCGGTGAGGTCGATGGGACGGCAGTCGGGGACACGCTGCTGGTCGTCGTGAGACGGTGGCACCCCGCCCTCACAGCACCCCAGGGGCAGCAGGGCGCTACCCGTCCCCCGTACTGGGGGATGAGGGGTGAGGGAGGGGTTAGAGGGAGTGTGGGGGGAGAAGGGGGGGATGGGATTAAGTGTGATGGAGAGGGCTGAGTGGGAGAGGAGGAAAACGATGATGGAAAATAATGGATTAAAGGGAAGTAGAAGTAAAATTGACAGACATTGAAGATTTGGGAGGAATGAGGGAATTCAATAACTATATAAGATAATTTCTTATAGATTTCATAGCAAGGAAACGTGAGGAAAATATCAAGCTTGTGAAAGGGGAAATAAAATTGTACGAAGGGACGAAATGAATAGAATGTAATGGTTGAATAGAAATATAATGGTTGGAGAATGAGTAATATTTGGATGAATTTACTGGCATAGTTTACCCAAACATTCCTACAATACCATGCATATAAAATTTACACAGTGGAGCAGGTATGACTTCAACGAAAAGTCTCTCTGTCTTCACTATACACAATACACAAATAACTATACAGGCACACACCGGCACTCTCAGGCGTGTGTGTCAAGTCGTGGTCAAGGAATTGTCCGAATTGCATGACGAGTGACGTGATCGCCAGCAGTGGCTTCGGCCTCCCGCTGACGCCTTGAGATAACTCCACGCTGATCTGCACGCCACGGTACAAATTAGATAAAAACTATACATTATTATTTCATCAATCATTCCAAATTTTAGGAATCATTCTAAATTGTAACAGTCATTCTAAATATTAAGAGCCATTCATAAATTTTAGGAATCATTCTAACTTTTGCCATCCATTCTAACTTATTTTAGCCTTGCTTTGTTTCTCTAGATTTCTGTAAATTTTAGCGAAAAACCTGAAAATGAATTTTTTGCGCAGTTTGACTAGCAAGTGGCTTGAGTGTACTGATTTTGCATTGCATTTTCTAGTGTTTATTCGTAAAAGCTTGGATTTATTGTTTTCCTGTCTATCTTTCGAAAATTTCATAGTTGGTAACTAAATAAACACAGCCAGAGGTTTTTAACTAAACAATTTATGATTACCTAGACAATATTTAATGAGTTAAACAATATATTTAATTAACTAAACATTATATAATCAATTTAGAAATATCTATCAATGAAAAATAGCAATCCCGGGATTTGAAGATGAATATCCATTATTAGTGCTATATTTTCATTCATACAAAGTTTAATTTGATTGTAAGTTTAATTCCTAACCATCCTGGGTGACGGGAGCGCTGTGCTTGGTGGCCGCCCCGCTCCTCTTGGCTCGTCCAAACCTGTGCATAAATATATTATATTCAATATTGTCTTGTTAAAAATATAATAATAATATTGTTGTTAATAAATGTTATTGTGTTGTTCATCATTGTGTTCATTTATATTTATACATCCAGTTAAATGATTGAGATCTTGTGTAAATAGCGATGCGCTTTTAAAATTTGTTTAGGTCATTCTGTCCCAGTTTGGCTCGGCAAAAATTAGTATTAGTGATCCGTAGTTATTAGTGATTAGTATTAGTGATCAAACATCCCTTCGAGATGTTTGTAAGAAATTGTGTAACTATTTGGACAACATAATCCATTAAATTTCCTGAGTGCAGGTCAAAATAATTTCAATCTCTCTAAAATTCTGCATTTTCAGCTTGCGTGCAAAATTCAAATTTTTTCAAAACTTGAGGTCTGCATTGAGGCCTTACAAACATGTAAGATCTGGACAACCTTTATCAATCTTTATTTTACTATTGATATTTTTATTTTTTAAATTTCTTTATTTATTTTTATATATCATTTCTATTTTATTTTTAATTTTTTTAATAAAAACCTAAACCTTATATGTCCTAATATAAAATGTCCGCACTTGATATAGCCTTTAAACCAAGATTAAGACACTAACCGTCTTCGTAGAAGGGTCTGATGTAGCGGGTGAAGGGTCTACGTATAGACCCCCACAGCGGGTTACGTACGTTGTTGCAGGTTCCATCGAACGTCCTGCGGCACATAGGGGTCTAGACTTAATAGACCGCATGACGCGTCATTGAATATAATATATACACGATAATAGATATTGATATCTAGATTGATGACAAACACAATACTAGATATTGATATCTAGATTATGCTAGTTAACAAAGGGCTGCACTGTGCTTCTAGGTTCCCCAATAATCCTTTCAATATCACTAGGAAACAATCGGTGATATCAAATATCATTTGTCTTAACTAGTCATCATTAGAAATATTTAGGGACAATCACTAAACATTCACTAGGCATAACTCGGTTCAAGTTCGCATCACTAAGTGTCCGTAAACATAACTAGTCACTTTATGGTAACATTGCCTGGTATCCAAAACTAGGTTCCGTAACGGATTACTAGATGCTGGGAAACACAAATATTCACCGCATGATACCATCGTCTAGCATCACTAGGTTGCACTTCGCATCACTAGGTACCAGTAATACAACTAGTCCGTAGCTACCAGGCACCACAGTGAAGCCCTAGTTAATCTCTACCATAATTAACCCCAGACCTATAGGCATATCCCCTGACCTGTAGACATAACCCCTGACCTGTAGACATAACCCCTGACCTGTAGACATAACCCCTGACCTGTAGACATAACCCCTGACCTGTAGGCATAACCACTGACCTGTAGGTATAACCTAGACCTGTAGACATAAGTATAACCCTTGATCTGTAGGTATAACCCCTGACCTGTAGGTATAACCCTTGACCTGTAGACATAACCCCTGACCTGTAGACATAACCCCTGACCTGTAGGCATAACCACTGACCTGTAGGTATAACCTAGACCTGTAGACATAACCCTTGACCTGTAGACATAACCCCTGACCTGTAGACATAACCCCTGACCTGTAGGCATAACCACTGACCTGTAGGTATAACCTTGACCTGTAGGTATAACCCTTGATCTGTAGGTATAACCCCTGACCTGTAGGTATAACCCTTGACTTGTAGGCATAACCACTGACCTGTAGGTATAACCCTTGACCTGTAGGCATAACCACTGACCTGTAGGTATAACCCTTGACATGTAGGCATAACCCTTGATCTGTAGGCATAACCCCTGACCTCTAGGTATAACCCTTGACATGTAGGCATAACCCTGTCCTGTAGGTATAACCCTTGACCTGTAGGCATAACCACTGTCCTGTAGGTATAACCCTTGACCTGTAGGCATAACCACTGACCTGTAGGTATAACCCTTGACATGTAGGCATAACCCTGTCCTGTAGGCACAACCCCTGACCTGTAAGGGTCCCCGGGGTCGCAGCGAGGCACCTGCTCGACCCTGACCCCTGCGCAGTCTGACCCCGACTGTGTCAGCAGGCGCTGGCAGGTCGCTGACCGCAGAGTCTGACTCTGTAGCCTCTGCACGGCCTCGTCTGTCGTGCCTGGCAGTCTGCAGGCAGGGGGGATTTGTTAGTACTCCTGGCAGTCTGCAAGAGTTTTGTTAGCACTCCTGGCAGTCTGCAAGAGGTTTGTTAGCACTCCTGGCAGTCTGCAGGGAGGGGATTTGTTAGTACTCCTGGCAGTCTGCGTGGAATGGACTTTCCAGTACTCCTAATAGTCTGCAGAAAGGGGAATTTATTGGTACTCCTGGCACTCTGCAGGAAAGCATTTATTAGCACTCCTGGCAGTCAGCATGGTGGAGGATTTATTAGTAAGAAAATGCAAATACGGATAGTTTATGATTATTGGTGTTAATCACCAAAATTTAGAATTTCAATCATAAAAAGATGAGTTAATTAAACATCTTATATATTCTAAGCAGCGCAGAAGAAAAATCGTCAAACCGTTGAGAATGAAGTGCACTGACCATTTAGTTACATCTTTTAGCTGGAAGCTAAGGCGTAACGTAATTTTTGTGCAGGCAAATGGCAGAATCAGCGCAGGAACAGCGCAGGTTCAGCGCAAGTGCATTACAGGTTCAGCGCAGGAATAACGCAGGGGCAGCGCAGGCGCAGCATGCAGCGCAGGAACGGCGCAGGTTCAGCGCAAGTGCATTACAGGTTCAACGCAGGAATACCGCAGGAACAGCGCAGGAATAACGCAGGGGCAGCGCAGGAATAACGCAGGGGCAGCGCAGGAATACCACAGGGGCAGCGCAGGAATACCGCAGGTTCAGCGCAGGAATAACGCAGGTTCAGCGCAGGAATACCTGTTCTTGAGGAACTTGGACGCCTCCAGCAGCGACGCCCCCAGGCACACCGACTGCGCCTTGGCGTCCGCCTGTGGACGACGGAAGTCGAAGAGGCGCTCGCTGGCCACGTCCAAGTCCACCCCGCCCCTCGTGGACAGGCCTGGGGGGTGAGGGGTGTGAGGGGTGGTGTGAGGGGTGGTGTGAGGGGTGGTGTGAGGGGTGGTGTGAGGGGTGACGTGAGGTTGTGGTCATACATAGCAATTATAAAAATCAAAAGATACGTTGGATTCAAATACTTTACAATTATCTTGTACTTATATATAATCAACTTATATGTGATAGAATTTATTGTCTCAAACTTTGTGACGTTCCTATGATCTTGATGGCTGAGCGATATGGTAGGCCGTGTGGATGAGAATTAAAGAAGCCCGGGATGTATCAACGAAACATGGAACAATTTTTTAAGTGATGTTAAAGTCTACCATGCCCTAACAGGCTAACGCTACTACGCATACTATGTCGATTCTCAAAAACTGGAAAATGATAATCATAAATTACTGCCATTTTAATTACGGAATGAATATTCTAATTACGATATTTACCAGATAAATAATAAAATCAAGATATTTATTGGGATGATGTTTAACTTCCCATAATTACCAATAAATCTTGTATTCACCATAATTACCGAATAAATATCAAAATTACCGTAATTATCGAATATACAGTATATTGTAATTTTCAAAACTGCCTAATAAATATTATAAAAACCAAGTAAATATTATAATTAACAATGGGCAAAGAAAATTACCGATAAATATTATAATTACAAAAGTCACCAATATTATAATCGGTATAACTACCGAAAAATAATATGAATATAATAAATATCAGTATTACAAAATAAATATTCAAACTAACTATGAGTATTAAAAGAACTGCCATATATTATAATATCTATAATTTCCCATATCATCATCAGTATAATTACCGAATAAATATTGAAATAAGTGAATTTATTTCATCATTACTAATATTAGCGAATGAAGCCCCGCATATTTTAACCCTCAGATGGTATACCTCAGATGCTAATCCTCAGATGTTAACCCTCATATTTTAGCCCTTAAATCTTAACGCACAAATTTTTAGCCTCACATGTTAAGCCACAGATATATGCTTTCAGATGAAAGCTTTCAGATAATGACCCTAATACATAAACCATCAGATGATCGCCCTCAAATTTCGCCATTTACTCGTCATATTTTACCCCTTAACCCTCAAATTTAAGCCCTTACTCTCAAATTTAAGCCCTTACCCTCATATTTAGGCCCTTACCCTCAAATTTAAGCCCTTACACTCAAACTTAGGCCCTTACCCTCAAATTTATGCCCTTATCCTCAAATTTAGGCATTAACCTCATATTTAAGCCCTTATACCATCAAATTTAAGCCCTTGCCCTCAAATTTAGGCCATTGCCCTCGAATTTAAACCCTTGTCCTAAAATTTAAACCATTACTTTCAAATTTAAGCCCATAGCATCAAATTTAAGCCCTTACCCTCTTATTTAAGCCCTTGTTCTCAAATTTAAGCCTTTACCCTCAAATTTAATTTAAGCCCTTACCCTCAAATTTAAGCCCACCCTCAAATTTAATTTAAGCCATTACCCTCAAATTTAAGCTTTTACTCTCAAATTTAAGCCCTTACCCTCAAATTTAAGCCCTCACTCTCACTATAAGCCCTTGCCCTCAAATTTAAGCCCCTACCCTCAAATTTAAGAGCTCACCCTAAAATTTAAGCCCTTACCCTCAAATGTAAGCCCTTAACCTCCAATGTAAGCCCTTACCCTCAAATGTAAGCCCTTACCCTCAAATTTAAGCCCTTACCCTCAAATTTAAGCCCTTACCCTCAAATTTAAGCCCTTACCCTCGAATTTAAGCCATGACCCTCAAATTTAAGCCCTTGCCCTCAAATTTGAGCCCTTACCCTCAAATTTAAGCATTTTCCCTCAAATTTAAGCCCCTACCCTCTTATTTCACCCCTGACCCTCACCTAAGATGGCCTCCACCTGCCGCTGCTCCTGTGCCCTCAGGAAGCCCTCGCTGAGCGCCTGCTCCAGGAGAGCAGAGGGCAGCTGCTCCAGCTGAGCACCTGCAGTTAGCAGCAGCACCTGCAGGACCAGCAGCACCTGCTGCACGTGTCGGGTCGTGGGCATGATAAGTCTGGAAAAAGAATAAGTAATTGGTTAGATTATTTAAGGCTTACTTTGTTAATTAGCTATTGTATGGTAGTGCTATATAAGTAAATAGATTATCACTATTGGATTACCTGTCGCTTTAATAAATGTTACTTGAGCAGCAGCTGCAGCACTTGAGCAGCAGCTGCAGCGCATCTGCCATTACATGTGTCGAGGCATCTACATAAGTATCGACTAGGCCCGACCTTTAACATTGAATGCGACGCGTTCTCGCAAACGTCAGGTAATTTCTTGTCAGATTTTCATCAAATATATTACGCATCACTTAGATGCTATAAGGTTATACAACCTTATATTTAGAAGGTTGTTGCATATAAATAATTGATCCTTATTTATTTGCTCGTACGACCACAACAAATCCGATGAATCAGTAGCGATTCCGTACTCCATCGCTTCGCATATTATATCAGAGAATTTCTAATAAAATATTTCTCGTAGAACCTTGAATAATTTTATAAATTAGTTTTAATGTTCATTTCATTAAGCTTCACGGACCTTAATAAAGACAAGTTTACTTTAACCATCTTAACCTTCACTCTAGGAACCTTGCAGGTTCTTCACAACATGTGCGCAATTAAATTTAATAATCATTTCCGTAGCGACTACATGATGATGAATCAGCAAGTTGGAACGATCATACGTAATTAAATTGAAATAAACTTGTCAGCAAAGTTTGAAACGCAATTAATAGTGAACTGACTAGGAAGTCGTCGCGCGCCATGTTTATTGTTTACTTCCAGGAAGCACATTTCGCTTATTTATTAATATTTTAATAGATGTAATTAATTTTTATTGTTATTGTGATTATAATAGTTGATGTAATTATTTTTTGTTGTTGTTAATATTATAGTTGATATAAAAAATTTTAATTGTTATTATTTATATCTTAATTAAACCAGTAATTTTTAATTGTTATTATCATTTTCCTTATTTCAGTGATGAATTTTATATGCTTCTGAAGTTGACATCAGCAAGCACAGGCGATCTCCATGTCCTTGTGATCGAGACGCCTACATTCAGAAAAATGGATGGGTCATCTTGTCCAAATATTGACACACTTACACTGATACGCCGGCTTAAAATATTTTAGACTGACCCAGTTTGGGTAAAATTAGAGTCAATATTTGGACAATGACCCACTGATTTCTTTGAGTGCATGATGCAGGCGGCAGCTGACACGCTCGCCTGCCGCTGGAATTAACGAAATTTAACGCCAGGCGACCTTGTCTGCCACATCCGCTGAGTTTGTTAAACGTTCAGCCTACACTCAGAGAAACCTGTGAGACTTTGTCTACATAACGATGCACTTATTGAGCTTGCATGGGTCAAAGAGACATATTTAATTAAATGACTTATCTGTAAATAGTTTACTTTCTGTTCGTGCTATGGGTATAAAAATGTGTCATAATTTGGACAATAGGACAAATTCATTAATAATTAATAATAATTAATTACATAATTAATTACTGTATGGGGAGAATATATAAGGAATATCACGAGTAATTCATGAATGATAAATGATGAGCTCGTAATATAAAGTATAATGTATTTTGAGAAGATCAGGATTATGTATATCTGAAGATATAATATTACATACATATACAGTATTACATTACAGTATGAAGATATTTATACACAATTTAATACGTCGCGTGTAACATGAAATTATAATAATGTTGTTGACAATAACATGTAAATACATGCGTGCATGGTACTTTAATTTTTAATTAATATTTATGTCAATTTTGATATTAGTATTAAGTTTCCTGGAGGGTATTTTGGTGTTGGCGAACATGTGGGTTGTTAAAATGACTATCCGGAGATACCGAAAACTGAAACACTCACGTGATACAGATACTTTTCCATACATGAATGAGTATTCAATGGGTCTGTTTTTTCATTTCTTGAATAATTATTCTATGGGTTTGAGATTTCACTAGAATTACAAATAATTATGGCTATTTATAATAAACGCACTGACATATGGGGCAAGAGCGTAATGGATTTTCGATCCATGCTTCAAAGTTATATTTGTATTCAATAGACTGCAATATCTAGTATTAGTTCAATATATTATATATATCACATTATAGATAATTAATCACTATTTTACTAATAGCAATGCAAGCTGGACCAGTGATTGGGACAATTTTAATTTATTAAGGTATCCATAACACGGAAGTACGTTTTGACATTCCAGGCATAGTCGACAAATTGTGTCAGGCATAGTCATAGTTTTGACATAGGCCTGGCCTACTCCTGGCATATATAGGCCAGGTATAAAATTATTTTCTGCGTACAGTGAATCGAGGTATCAAAATCGTAGTTATTATCTTATCTTTTTGTACTGATGAATAGCTTTCTGAAAATTAATAACGAACGACCAAATATCTAATTTAATACTTATTGATTTAAACTCAAATAAATGAAATACGTCTCCGTGATCGTATTGTCATGAATCTTTCTATGTTTAAAGCAGGGATTCAAGGAATCGATAAATCTTTCATTAATTAAAAATAATATTGAAAAGATCACTTCATATTCGTAATCTTAATTCCTCGTTTCTGCAACATGAAGATCAGATCAGATATATTGCAAGATGATGTCATCATAAATCAGGATGGTTTCCTTAATATATATATTCGTGAGAGCATGAATTGCATTCGCAACCGTGCATTAATTCCATATTAAACATGATCGATGGCAGAAGATAATTATAGCAGCGATTAGATACGCCTAAAGATGCTTCCTATTCGTGAGACTGCCACGAATATTTCCTAACGAACCACGTAAATAACAACGCATTTAAAATAGTGCGTGTGTCCCTGTTCATGCGTCACTGTTCATGCGTCACTGTTCATGTGTCACTGTTCATGCGTCGCTGTTCATGCGTCACTGTTCATGCGTCACTGTTCATGCGTCACTGTTCATGTGTCACTGTTCATGTGTCACTGTTCATCTGTCACTGTTCATGCGTCACTATTCACTATAAAGTAAACATATGTTATTGAAATAAATTGTTATTACAGTGCGTTTTAAATACTGCACCTTGCGGTCAAGCTTGACGGTAGTATCACGGATACGGCGGTGCAGTGATACGGAGACACTGCAATGTAACTGTAATATTTTGGGACTGCCTCCTCCAATGTATCGTTTAATGATAAGCTTGGATACATGAAAAAGTCTCTTATGATTAGAAAGATATTCTAATTTAGAATTGTGACGCAAAATGTGATCTGATATCTAGATTGGTAACACCATTCATTTCAAGTAAAAATAAATCGGAAGTAAAATTGAAGCCTTAATTTGTGTGATAAATAATCTAAAGATAAAATGCCTGACTATAGGATATGACAGAGTAGGATATGCCAGAGCAGGATATGCCAGAGTAGGATATGCCAGAGTAGGATATGCCAAAGTAGGATATGCCAGAGTAGGATATGCCAGAGTAGGATATGCCAAAGTAGGATATGCCAGAGTAGGATATGCCAGAGTAGGATATGCCAGAGTAGGATATGCCAGACTAGGATATGCCAGAGTAGGATATGCCAGAGTAGGATATGCCAGATTAGTATATGCCAGAGTAGGATATGCTTGAATATGAGATGCCTGAGTAGGACAATTTTACAAAAGCGAAGGTAACCAGCAGTTAAGTAATTAGATGGAATGATTTGCATATGACGTGCCTGTAAATGAACAAAGCAGGCAGTTATGCCACGGTATTACGAACACGCAACTTACAGTTAAGGTTTTACCGGGAATATCGATAAGTTGCATAATCATTTGGGAATTTAATAATAGGTTTAATCAAATTACCGGCTCATATTAAGGTTATGCTTGAATTATTCAGTCGAATTGATGACGTGTAATTTTCTTTAATACGTCATGCCTCGACATCTAAGTAGTAATGAAGTCTTCTGATGAGTGGTAAGCAGTCACCGAAACCAGTAATGCAATTTGCGAACTTTAACTAATGGGTTTGCATGATAATATGAATTTTGCGTATTATTACAGAGCCATAGTGTCTTGAAATACACATTGCTGACAACGATTTGTCTTAAATATAAACTTTTTAGGAATTTTTTTAATATTCAGAGTAGCGAGCAAGCGATCGGTTACGCATTACTCCGGGATTTCAAATACACATTGTGTTTCTTAAATACGTTTTATGTTGAATTTATGAAGCCAAGGTTAATAGCATAGAGTCGAAAGATAATTTATATTACTTAGATGTTGAAATTACTAATCAGAATATTCAAAGAATTTTAGAACATATTGTGTTTTTTTACTAAGGAATTTTGAACAAAAGTAGCCAATGAGGTTACTAGGTTATAAATAAAACCTATTTACTATTAACTTGACTTTTTAAATAATAAATTTTAACATTTAAAAAAAGCAAATCGAAGCAAAAAAACGTGAGAAAATGACTTAAATTGCATGGGTATCGTGAAGGTGGTTCATCACCCTTCCAGAAAATGTCTACTTTTGTTCTTCACAGAACCAGCTTTATTCATTTAATGTCACATGAATATCATGAATGAGGTCGATAGCATTACACGCCACGTCCAATACCTCGAACTCTATAGTTACCGTCTTCGTTTTTCCGCTGATGATTTATCTCGGAAGACTTGATAGGAATTAATGTCTACTTAGTCGCCAAGGAGCTGATTAATGCTTTAAGTAGGAATATTAATGGAGTCAGGATCGTCGCTCTGGCCGCAATGGAGATAAATTGGGTTAGTTAAGGTTAGAGATTAAGCATTAGCATTTGACCAGCAATGCCATACTCCTTCAATCCTGATTGGAATTGCGATACAATCGGTACACGATATTCAGTTGTTGAGGTAGCAGTTCAGTTCAGATCCTGCGTTTTTTTTAAAAGCCTCCCACACTCACCATTCCAACAAAAAGGGAATTAATTTTATTAATTAAAAACCGTTTGGTTTGGTTAACTGCGTTTGGCTT